CAGATACCAATCAGATATCCACATAATAACAGCACTAACAACTGATGGGATAACTCATGTGCCTGAGCACTGGGGCTTTTTTCTTGGACTCATGGGTCATAATTGCAAACTTCTGGTGCTTATCTGGATTTCACTGCAAAATTGACGTTTTATTTTGGGGCATTTTAAATTTGTATTCATATTATTGGCTCCTTTGCTATACCCGAATACTGTTATTGGCTCCTCTGCTATACTCTGCTACTGTTATTAGGCCTATACTCTGTACTGGCTACTGTTATTGGCTCCTGCCTATAATCTGCTACTGTTATTGGCTCCCCAGCTACTGCTACTGGTTCCTCCATTATACTTTGCTACTGTTTTGTCAACCCCTGCTATAATCGTCTTTTTGGGAAAATCATGATCTAGTTTTTTTATTATATCTATCACTTAAAAAAAAATGTATATAATGTTGGTTAATGAATGTTATCAATGTACATTACTACTCAAAAACTATGTGTTTTTTCACACTTTAACATCATTTTATTGTGTCTTGATAATTGCTTTGAATTCTATCATATCAAATGTGTCAAAAATATATTGATGAAACTGTGATCTATAGGAGAGAGAAAATCAATTTCTAACACGTTTATTTGTTATGGCTGTAAGCTAAATACGATCAAACTGATATTATACACGAAGTGCAGGGTTTTGTTGGGAGGACCAGTACAGTCAACCAATGTCAGTTCACCTGAAGCTAACCACAGTTTTCTCAGGTTTTTACACTAGTGTAAATTTGTCAATAACTGGTGATGTGATGTCACATAGACGTAAATGTTGACTTTTAATTACTTGATGAACAGTGAGCAGTCGTGTGGGGTCACCACAAAATAAATAATCTATAATGACGGCAACAATAGAGGTCGTGAGATTTCAACAGAAATATTTACCTATACTTTATGCACTAATGTAAAGAAATATAGGGTAAAAAGTTCCAACAATTCTGTTTAATATGTGTAAATACTCTGAGAATCATAACACTTGGTGTATATGTATTTTAAATTCAACATAGTTGGTTCACTAACTATAACCACTGTTCTGTTTACAAAAACAATGTTGTTATGATATATATTTTAAAAAAAGGACACAACTGATCTCATCACAGTACTACAATTACTATTGTATTAATAATTGTGACCGCGTATATCAAAGTGAGTCGGAATACGCAAAATCTAATTTCGGACTAGAGACAAAATAAGTGAAAATAGTGATTTTGATCGAAATTGAGATTTTCACAAAAATGAGTCTATAAATATACTATCTATCGACACAAATGATCAAAATAGCAATAAAAGATTTTAAAACACCTTTATTTGTACGTTTTGTAAGAGTACTGTTTTCGTAAATCTGTCCTATTTGTTAAAATTCTCGGCGAAATTAGTTATTTTTCTTCGCTCGCTGCAGAACGACCAGTCATTGCTCTTGCATAATAATTGGCATCGTTGTAAAGTGAAGAATCTCTATTTTACAAATATGATCAAATTAATGTCGATGAATTGATTTTGAATGGATACAATCGAGTTTTAAAACCCCTAAAAAATATAAACCACCTCCGCTTGTTGTTGTGCTGTCTACACAACTCGTTTGCTGATTGGCTCAGACACTGAGTGAAAAGCATTATGGTTATGTGGCTGACTCGAGCGGGCGATAAATATTTGGTTTTTGGCAATAATGTTTTAGGGTACCTACATGCGATTCACTCTCATAAGTGGCAGAAAAAAAATAATTCTGATCGTATATAGATTGCCGTTGAGTGTTAATCCAAACCACGTGGCTGATTAAATTAATCGACATGTGGGTGGGTGTCATTGAGTAATACTAATCAACTGTCACGGGTCAATGATAAAGCCGTCGACAACTCCTTATTTACTCCGAATAAATAATCCAAGCAGTGATTATCTGATATCTCATATCATCTTTAAAAAAATAGTTTATAGGCCTTAAATTGAAATAAAAAAAATGGCCAATAATTTTCTTTTCGAACAGAATTTTATTGATAGATGAATTCACTTTACTGTCGCTTCTTCATACGGCATGCAAAGTAAGGAATGCATTTTCGATATTATTGTTTAAAATTCTCTTATCACCAACAAGCCGAATTGGGTCGATTCTCGAGTCTGCCATTGTTTAATTGCATCAAAGCCAGAATGCACGAAAGTGAACGTAAGTATTTCTTGACTATGAAATTGACATTTCTATAGGGACTCATATTTTGATACCGTTACGGTACCTGAAAATAATAATAGACCTATTATACACGCAAAATCTTATTTTAATTTACGTGATTTAAAAATGAATACGCGTACAGCTGTGGCGGCTTCTTTGATGATTATCCAATCAACAATCTTAATCTCCTGACCACTAGCTGCCACCAGGGAGCTAATTAATTGATGAGATTAACTGTTAATCTCACCAACATTATAATATACAAAACAGACTACTAATATATAGATTATTCTTCAGTATAATTAACACTATCATGTGAATATGCTGCATATGTTATGGATGTTTCGTCACGAAAGGAGTGCATTTACTACGATTTTCGTCGTCAGCACCCTTGAAATCCTAAATAAAAAAAATATTAAACGACAAAGTAGCAAATAAATGGCAGAAATCATCAGATCAAATTTTTACTACGATTTTTGTCTTCAGCACCCCTGAAAACTCATGGAAAGATATAATCAACGACAAAACAGCAAATAAATGGCCTGGTTGCTATGGGCTTTTGTTTTGGAACATACCAAATCTTTGACTTGCTTTTTCTCAAAACTTACTTTTGTGAGTTGGGTAGCTTCAAATGGACAGAGCTCAGTCAATTTTTGCCCGTTTCAAACAAACTATACATCAAATTGAAGGTAATGAGTTGGAAAATGTGAAAATAACAATAACTCAATTTTTAAAATTTCCTCACTGCGACTCAGTATGTCATGGGGGGTCACATTTTATTCCAAGAAAAGATACAAATTAAGTTCTTTTACATTTTCTTTTAAGGGATAAAACTTCAAAACTTGAAATAGATCTTTTGATGTAGGTCAGAGACAGAAAATCACTTTAGGTGATAATTATCTAGCTAACAAAAAGTAAAGTAAAGGGTATATAATTCTAATTTATTGAAGATACATTATGGGAGATTAGATAACGAGCTGGCGGTTCTCACTATAATAGTAAAACACTAGATAATGTAAAGGCAATTTGCTGAAAAGTTCAGTCAAACTGTTCCACTATGAACGAAGAATTAAGCGATTGAAATTTCGGCCTAGCCTCGATCATCATTGCTAAAGTCGGTACGATAAACACATAGTCTTGATTATCCATTTCATGATTAAATCATGAATGAAAGTTAAGCAGCAAATCGGATCATAAAATGTGATCAATTGCTTAATTTGGCAAGAAACGTTTTTCTTTTCCTTTTTTATTGAAAAATTATGAGGTTTTCATTGGGTGTAATACTTTTTTTATTTAGCCTCTAGTGATTTATTCTAGAAGCTGTAGTGGTTCAGTGAGTAACCAAGAGGTCCTAGGTTTGATCCCGGTGTTGGCTGAGAAAGTTCCACAGATTTTCTAGCGTGGCTTCCCGTTGTCAGTGGTTCAAGATGGAAGACCTGCCAATGAACAGCATCTAGCCATTTGAATGGGATCAAAAATTGAGGTCCCAAATAGAGTTGGAATTTGAATAAGAGTAGTCTGTAGTTTTTTTTGTCCGAACAACATTTCCCCCATAGCACACTGACATGGCGTATGACCAGTTTCAATAGCTTGGCTGTTGCAAAATAGTAGGATGTTAAATCTCATTTCATTTCTGATTTCATAGCTTTATAAGTTTTTATTAGGAATTTTAGACATTGGAAGTTGCAGCTGACAAAACAATTGCATGTTTAGACAATGCTACCACACAATTATGCTATATCATTCAAAAGAGTGACCGGTTTGAAATGTTGGGGATGAGAAATCGGGATTTACTTGTTGAGTGTTATTTATATCTGAACAATTTCTATACTCTTTACTAATTATTTGGTGTATATTTATAAACACTGAAACAACTTGAGGATGAATTAATTGATTTGACATATGGAACCTGGAAGAAAAAACACCCATAATGAACATAGTTTGAAGTGAAATTTTACACTATTGAAATCTCTTGGGAGTTAACTGACATGACTTGGCAACTGTTGTTATTTAAGGCTTGTCTGAGAAACTTGTATCTGATGATTCATTAATTCAGCTTAAGTGAAAAATAACAAGTAAAAAGAGTGGACAGTTTATTTATATTAATTGACTTGAAGATGAAAGGTGCCATATGGGGCTCTGAAACCAGGTCGATCTGACACTGGCACTATAGGATTCATTTTCATAACATCAGCCCAGTTTATCTTGAACTTTGCACCACTTGTTTGGATCTCTGTGGTTTTCTACAGTTCTTGGTAATTAATTTAGTGGCAATAATCTGGAGATGGTGGAGTATATGGCAATGGACCTTTCACTTTTTCTGTATATATATAAATCAGCTGTTCCAAGCAGGCAGTAATAGTTCCACCCATAATGATGTTAACAATCTTTATTTAGATCCTCTTCTCAGTAGAGTTCAGATTTCAAACTTCCCACCAGATTGTGTGAACAGTCAACATGGCAACACATAATAAAACTTCTTAGATTTCATATATCTGTCATGCCCCCCTAGTTATTTACAGGGGTTTTGTTTTCTTTAGCAACTATTCATATTTCTTTTATTTATTTTTTTAATGACATTTTAAGAGTTATAACAAAATGCAGAATATTTTTACTTAAACACTTGAAGCACAGAAATTGGCTGTATGATATTCCATGGTTATAAAAGTGCAATTTATTGTGTACTGTGAATATTTAAAATGAGGAATTCATAATAAGTACAATGTTAATTGAATTTATTATATATTTTTTTTTATTATTTTAAGATGGCACTTTTTATCCTTACTATCCTTATATAGGTCACCATTTAATTTCGCCATCTGGAGAACTGGATACTTTAACGAGTTTCAACAAGTAAAATGGAGTGTACAGAGGTATAATATATATATATATTTAGACATGTTTATTTAGAATATATTTTTTACAGTATGATACCTTGATGTATTTATTTATATTAAAGTGTTCTCATAAAGATAACCTCTGGGAAATAAAAACCTTTAATACCAGTTAAAACTATCAACATCTTTTCTGGAATCTGTATAGTTTATGCTCTGGGCAATTTATATTATAGTGTCTCTACAAGCTATCTAATTCGACCCTATCTGATCTATTAAGAGCTGTTAGTTTCAAGAAGAACTTTTAAACTCTTGTTTCAAATGTTTGCAAGTCAGAAATATGCAGGTTTAAGCATGGACCTTATAATAATGTATTATTAAATCTATGGTTTCAGTTCTGGTATTTCAGGTTTAAAAATCAATCCATAAAATATGAATAATTTAACTCATTTTATAATAGATTATGGTATTATATTGCTTTTTGGAGGTACTGAATGGAAGAAACTTGGATTTAGTTGGATGCATTCTGATGCCACCAAGAAAATCTTGTCTTTACAGCTTTTGATTTACCTAGATGCTTGGTGAAATGTTCAGCTCTAGTGGCATTATCAAGCTGAATGATTATTACAAATCACAAAGTAATACCATACATTGAGGAATTTACAATTTTCTTATCTTGAATCCATGGGTTAGATTATGTACACATGTAAATAAATGTCAACAGCGCTGTAGAACATTGGCTGGCTTTTGTTTGTTGTATTGTATTAATAACATTTTTGTAATTTCTTACTTACTTATTTACTTACTTACATAACAGGTAGTGTAATAAATCGTTCATATAGCTAGGCCGCTACAATCACTGATAAGGATGACATCGATGCGACTTAGTGAGTCCCAAATATTAACTTTTTTCTTCCGTCAAATTAAATTCATTTATTATAAAAATAGATAAAGACGTTTGAATTGTTTGTAGGTAAAAATCATTTCCTATTTAGTGTAAATGGGTATTAAAATAAATAAAATTCACCATTTAGCCCGAATCAGTAACATCTTATGTAAACAATGCACGCGCTATTGAGCCAATGATTGACGCCGCGTGATGTGACGTCACGTGTCAAAACAGTCATCTGTTACAGAGATATTAGAAGATCTCTGTGAAACAGATTGGGATTACAGTAGTAACTTTTGAATATATATTCTGTAAGGGTGTAAATGTGGCACAACCTTTGATATTTATTTATTCATTCCATTACTGATCTGTAGGGAACAATTAAATGTTGCACTTTTTCTTTCCTTGAAGTTCAGTAGGCTTTGCCTAGACTGTTAAAATATTTGCCATCCCAATAGATAAGATCTTGTGAACTGAAGTTAAACCAGGATGTAATAACTCAATCCCCATTGGTTGAAATTCATTTGATTTACAAATTATATGGTTAAATTAACAATAAACAAACGGTGAAACCCATTTATGAATATTGAAACTAGATAATAAAATCTTACCATTTGTGAATTTTGTGCCCTTTTTTACAAATCCTACATAAACCACTCTTGGAATAACCCTAATATTAAAGATTTGTACAATATTTATTCATTTTATAGTCATAGTTTTTTACACTTGATAAAATGAAATAAGCTGAATAAATAAATCTGAGGTAGATGATAATATTAATAGGAATAAGTTTAAATATGGTTTACAGTTGACAGGTTATGTAATCAAATAGTAACAATTGGCAAGTATTATTTGACCACCCACATAATATACGCCAGTGTTATCTTTCAAATCAAATATTTTTTTATTTTTTTTTAAGTGGGTGCATGTTTTTTTCTCCAAATCCAAGTAAATAAGAAAAAAACCAGTTTGAATTAATAAAAGTAATAAAAAAAAAAGTGTAGTACAGTAATCCTAACGACTTTATAGTCTTTATTTTCTATATTCTCTCTCAACCATTCCTTATTCAAAAACTATAAAGTACTGATTGAATAAACAAAACCTCTTATGTAGGATCCCTAAAAAGCCCCTAGTTCTGGAACCAACCACTCTTTGTTTTACAAATAGACCAAGCTTTGCATGTAGGCCTATTTGTATGGTTAAATCATTAAAACTGTGAAGGTTGTCAACTGTATTTCTCTGTTTACTGTTAGTAGGTATATATATATTAAAGTCATTTATCAAAAAAATAAATCTTATGACACATATTTACTTAAACAGCTAATTGTATGTTTTAGGCACATGTACTGACATGGATGAATGTAATCGCTTGTGCTGAATTCTAAAGTAAATTGCAAATGGCATCAATATTTTCCATTAGTATAAATATACCCATGGTAGTATAAATGGTATCATATGAAATACCCATGGTAGTAGAAATATCATTATTGTCCCCCGCCTTTCGAAGAAAGCAGGGGACTATTAAAATGGGTTCGTCAATAACTCTCCTTCTAAATGAGCTAGAATGTTCAAACTTGGTGTAGCTGTTTATTAGGTCAATGCCTTGATGGAGTTCGAAGATGAGCATTGTCTGCTTAGGGTAAGCAGAGATAAGCAATTTGATTGGTTGATGCTTTGGGACACGTTAACTTTAGTTCTAATTTAGTGAGAGTGAGGACACTTGGTGTATAGTTTTATCACATCAATACCTTGACTAAGTTCGATAATGAGCACTTTCTGCTCAGGGTAAGCAGAGTGATAAGCAATTTGATTGGCCGAGACTTTGGAACACAATAACTCTCCTTCTAATTGAGGTAGAATGTTCAAACTTGGTGTAGACGTTCATTAGGTGAATGCCTTGATCTAGTTCGATGATAAACATTGTCTGCTTACGGTAAGCAGAGATAAGCATTCTGATTGGTTGATGCTTTGGGGCACGATAACTTTGGTTATAATTAAGGGAGAGTGATGAAACTCTGAGTATAGATTCATTATATCATCACCTTGATTAAGTAGTTTAAATAGTATCAACCATATCACTATTAGTCATGTTAGTATGAATATTATCATTAATACCATGGTAGTATAAATGGTATCATTAATACCCATGGTAGTATAAACCTTATCATTATTACCCATGGTAGTATAAATGAAATGGGGTTTAACGTCCTACTGTTCTGCTCCTAACCTGGGCTAATGAAGACGGGCATACGCCATACAGTGTGCTATGACGGAAATTTTGCCCGGACAGCGGCACTACGGCCTACTCTTATATCGAATTCCAACGGCCAAGGGATCTTTTACGTGCACGCCAATGTGTACACGGGACCTCGGTTTTTCGTACCATCCGAACGACTAGACAGCTTTCCTTGTCAGCCCCTCCGTTCTGCCCATGGTAGTATAAATGGTATCATATAAAAATACTATGGTCATACAAACCTTATCATTTTTACCCATGGTAAGATAAATAGTATTGGTGGGGGGTGGGTGTTTGGTTAGTGTGCGCGCGCTGTATCATAAGGTCTGTCATTGAGTCAACTGGCATGGTTTCGATTCACCGGTTGTACATGACAAGGAGTAGGGTTGCCTGTCTAACCTCGTGGGTTTTCTCTGGGTCCTCCAGCTTCCTCACACTGCTAAAGGCCCCTACACGCCAGCGAATTATTGAAATAAAATTGAACCATGTGTTAGTCCTGAAATGACCTAGTTTGTATCAAGTGGAGGTTAAACCCTCTCTCTCTCTCTCTCTCTCTCTCTCTCTAAAAATACCATGGTGATACCAGCTGCCCACCTAATTTGGGCAATTTGACTTTTCAAGCAGACAGTAAAGTGAAAACAAAAATTATTATTTCATCTAGTTAGAAAACTAAAGCGCCTGAAATCTAATAAAACACAAATTTTACTTTTCTTTTAATTAAATACCACAAATTTGTACTGAATTGACTGTGGATGGATTAAAACATTTTGTCTGAAGCCACTCTGCTTTGTGTAATATTTTTCAGGCATCGATTATTATTTGTGAATGCAGATGCAACAGTCTGATTGGATGATTGGAATTCAGGACGACATAAAGTAGAATTTCAGTCGCAAAACAATTGAAGTTGCATTACTCACAGGCCAGAATAGCAGACTGCATTTGCAGCGGTTAAATTTTCTAAATTTTCTCGGGAAGGGTGAGGCCCTCATAACCCAAGACAATTGACTGGATGTTTGGGATTCAGGTAAGCCACCTAAGGTAGGCTATATTGGACCACGTTGAAGTTGCTGTATTCATGGGCTGGAATATTAGGAAAACAAATTTGCGGCAGTTAAATTTTCTCTCGACGATCCCGCCTCCATGAATTATATCACTTTGATGTTGCTGTATTCATTTGCTTCTTCTTGGGTTGGGGAGTGGTAGGGGCAGTGGCGGATTAAGCTCCACCAAGGCCTGAGGCGGCAGTTGCTGGAGGGCCTATTTAGTTTTGAAAGTTAGAGCCAAGGTAGTTGCTAACATTAAAAACGGGATTCGTTACTGAGGTTATCCAGGGGCCTACAAACGCGTCATAACTAGTATGACGTCTTAGACTATACTAAGCCAAAGTCGTTTGATATTGGTAATGTAACTTTATATGCCCATAAATGACGTCACGTGGATACAATATATTAAGCAAGACATAACCGAAAACTTACAAGGATTTAACGTACATTGTAGACCTACGTTAAAAAATAAGATCAGATCTCCAAACAGCCTAGGCCTATTTAAAATGGTGTGGGCCTAATTAATTACGGGTCAGGACCTATGTTGATTCCCGTTGGGCCTAAACCCCACCCGGCCTAACATTCATTGTCTATGCGTTTTTAATCGTATCAGACAAGTCTAAAATAATTTTTTTTACAAAATCTTTGGGCCTGAGGCTGCAGCCTCATCAGCGTCACTGATAATCCGCTACTGGGTAGGGGATGGGTGTTCCTACAAGATAACCCTATGCTCCATTGTCTCTCGCAGACAATGTTCAAAAACATTTCAGGTTATGTCCCCCTAACATTCATCGAGCCCATACGCCTATCACAACATTGGAATTTGTGACTGACTTTACTTTGAACTGTGATGCAGTGCTGATGGGTGTCACTGGTGGCATTTAACTTTTAGCTTATGTCACTTCCTGTGCCATACCATTGAAACCTTTTACAAGATATTCGGAAATACCAGTTAAATTTATATTAATTCATCACTCAAAAAGGGTTATGGGGTGATCAGAATATGAGTTCATTGCACAAAGATTAATATTCATCTGAAGATTGATATATTGATATAGCATGATAATATTAAACAAAAGTTTTTCTATATAACTGTGGAAATTCCACTGTAAACAGGAGAACTTGTCAATGTGTCTTGGTGATACAAAAAATAACCATGAGAACTTCCAAAAATTTGCTCTCATTTCCAAGCAATAAGATTATGCTGTTTTAAAATATCTTTCCAAGAGTCAACTCATACAATGATAAAATACTTCGAAGAGTCAACTCAGACAATGATAAAATACATCTAACAGTCAACTCATGTTTCATAAACCCTGTTTACATTACAAATTTTAAGTGTACCAGGCATGGTACCAGGTATGACACGCTTCGCTTTTTTGTAGTGTAAACGGGTCAAACGTAAGCATGCCGCGTCTGGTACGGTGCCCACTGAAGTGAGGTGGTCTCGGAACGGTACCAGAACCGACTCGATTTAAATTTTCGTAGTGTAAAGCTAACCGGTCTGAGCACAGATTACTGTGCATGCGTCAAATGAACCTTGTTTTCATCTGGGTAATTTGTATAGGGACAGAAATTAACTTTTCTGTGAAGAGTTCCACATTTAGAGTGCTTGGCACCGTTCTGAGACCGGATTTTTTAGAGTAATGTAAATGGGTCAATTTCTTGAAATTTATCGCGGCCTGGTACCGTGCCCAGAACGGCACGCTTATCGCGGCCAAGTGTAAACAGGGCTATGGATTGAATCTTTTTCTTTTGTATTTGTATTTTTGATTGTTTTAAGTAAAATGGTACTTTGTCTTCTTTTTCTACCATTTCCTTCTATTTACATGACATTTGCCATGTATTTAAACAGTGTTTCTCTGTCAATTTCAGTTTCAACATACAATAGGCTTTTTGAACAAATATACATATTATTATTTCTGTTTAGAATAATTTTAAAAGTCTTTGTACCTATGCTGAGATATAATGATGAGAATTAGAATTTAATAAAAGGAGTCTTAGTTTTAGAGTTTTTGGTCTTTCTATTATATACATTATTTCAAATACTTTTCCTGGCTTTATCTGGTTGTTATATTTGAAAGTTAATTACTATTACAGTTAGCATGAATATCAGTTTTATATAAATACATGCCAATTTATCTTGTTATTAGAACACAATATTTATTTTTATTCACAATTCTATTTTACATAACACTAGCTTAAAACTGGTACATGTACTCAATTCACTTTTTATGAGTGAGAATAATTGAAAATGGTTTATAAGAATGTGTGTCATGCAGAAAGCATTAATATTTGTTTCTGTAGGCATGGTATGAATTTAAATTCTGATGCTGAAAAAATGGAGACAACTGCTGACAGGATTTAAACGGATGTTTTATATGCACAGTATTCAGACAGAGACTCAGATTTGTTCTCCTAATATGGTGTTCTGGTAATAAAATATACAATATTGTTATAATCATGTATGTTGTTTGTTTTTATAACTGTGACTAGACTTTTACATAGCCAGGAAATCTTGTCTACTTTAGAGGTATTGGTAAAAAACAGTTTCGTGTTGTCATATTTTTCATTCTTTATGCATAATTCAGCAGGAATGATGGTATGGCAATATTATATTTGTTCGACAGTACATAATATAATAGGATCATTTATCACCTATTATATTCCTTAGTAACAAGAAAAGCAAATGTTAAAACCTATTTTGCACCACTGACAAGGGGAAACCAGATGAAAAAATACAGAGGAACTTTATAGACCAACACCGGGATCCATTGTGGCTCCTTAGTCCTCATAAAGGCTATTTTTAAATTAATAGATTAATTAGTTTGAATATGTTTTTAGTCCAAATATATCATCAAATCACACAGTTTGTATGTGAGAAAGTATCTAGGATGTAGCACTGCTATAACCGGGGTAATGAAGATGGGCATGTGTTATGCAATGTACTATGAGGGAAATTTTTGCCCCGGCAGCAATTGAATTCTAACTGTCAAGGTTTCTTTTACATGCACACCAAGGTGTACCAAGGACCTCATTTATTTCATACCATCCAAACAACTAGACCCTCCATCTTGCACCATTTACAAGAAGAATCCATGTCAAAAAAAATCTTGAGAACTTTCACAGCCAACAACTGGCATAAAACCCGGGTCTCCAGGTTAGTGAGCCATTGCCTTACACACTGAGCCACTGTGGCTCAAATAGCACTGAAGAAAAGAAGATATTTTGAATTATGAAATTAAAATTTGTATTATAGGATACAACAAAATACTTTTTGTTTTTCTAAAATAAAAGGGGTTTTAAATTCTGTACATATGTGACAAACCTTTGAAAAACATCTGCTTCACATAAGTTGAAATTTTAATATAGATCAGTGAGATCATTTATTTACCCTTTTATTTCTAACAATTTAAAGACCCCATATGTACAACATATTTATATGATAACTAGTGAGGTCCTCAAACATTGGAGTCTTTGTTTTAATTTCCACATTTTTCCTTTTTATGGCCATTTTTGAGGCATTATTGGTGAAATAACTAAAAAAAAAAGAAAGCATTTCTTTCTGTATTACAAGAACTTCCAGATGCAAATTTGTTTGAGAATGTAGGTTTGTGATATATTAACATCACTCACAGTATTATTTATATCCTTAATGTGACAAGTTCAATGACTTGAACAGATTGCTTAAGACCAGATGTCTGTACATAAAGGCTGTTGAGTTTTTTCATCAGACTTGAACTAGTTGTTTAAAAGCCCTGGTTGCACTCTTAGCCAAATAAAAGTTTCATTTTAATTCATTATTTTATACTGTTATATTTTATATTTTTATTTCCTTGAGCAGATATTAATATGGTCATGTACATCCATTGTTTTCTATATTTGTTTGGTGATCTAAAAAGAGCTCTCCTTAATTTGCAAAGTCAAAAATTGCTCTGGACAATGTGGGGGGTTTTGGTAATACCCCCTTCAGACTGGTGTGGCATCCTTACTGCGCTGCTGTGACCGTAAGGCGACCAGGAAAAAAGAAAAGGTTGCCAGCAAAGGTCTACCCAAAGATTCTCCCAAAGAATTACAAACTTGGAAAAAGCTGAGTTCATCGGCGACTCCACAAACGCAGTGGAACCCCATAAGATTGCCATAGGTGCACTGGGAGGCCCATGAGTAAGTGGTGCAGTCGTGCAACAGTGGTGAAATTATCGCAACATTGCCATGACAACGTCATAAGGACTGTGTATTCTGCGCATGTACCCCGCCTTCTCACAGCTTTCCAGGCCAGATTGCAGAGATATGTGTTCAAAACAAATGCCGTGACTTGGCGACCATGGAGACTACAGCAAAATATCTGACGTTTCCACCATGCTTTTACTACACTTATGGCGATCTTGATGCACCCTCAGACCATTTTCCGTCGCCGTAGCAGCACAGTAGGGACTCTGCTCCGGTCTGATGGGGGTATAAATAAGGACAGTTATATCATAATAAAGAGAGTGATTCCTTTCATTCAGAGTACAAGAGTTAGAGTCTATGTAACCAGGACTTCAATCTATAAGTGCCATACACAATTACATAGTGACTTTTGAACAATTATCAATGATATAGAATAAAATGGTGGCAAAGGTTTATTTCTAATCGTCTTGAAATATTTGTATGCATTGCTAAGGATATTAAATTATAAGAATAATAATGTTTCATTTATATTTCAAGTAGATCAGATAATAGGATATTTTATTTTCGGTTATTTCACTAATAATAATAATGTCAAAACGTGCAATTAAGGTCCTTTGTTAAAGTAAACCTGCAAACCTAATGTCTTCTGTGGTTGCAAAGAGCTTTAATTGTCCCAAATCTATAAATGTACCAAACATGAAGAAATCAGTTTTAATAGAGAATAATATTTTGAGCATAAAAAAAGAATAGTCAAACTGACATGATGGAACCCATACTCATACAAGGAAAGCAGTTCCTACCTTGGCAATTTGGTATTGCTTAAAATCTGGCATGCTCAGGCCACAATCTTCAATCATGATTCAAGGTTTTCTCTCCTTTTCTAAGTTAATCAAAAACAACACACATCACACAGGTGACCAGGCAGATGGCATGTCAGCATACTCATGTATGTAAATGTAGGCTAGTAGATGTTGTTCCTTGAATTGTACAAGGTTGAGAACTCTGCAGGTTTCTGGATACAGACCACCATTAGAATATCTCATTAATATTAAAGACCACGTAAGATCAAAAATCTAAATTGCATCTATGTATAGCCCATGGTTACTATATCAACTATACGACAAGTTCACACCAATCTGATTATGTTGTTCTTAGCGTTTAACGTCCGCTTCCACCGAAGGTGATATCGCAGACAAGTTCATTTTAATGATCTTAGCGCACGCGCAGGGGTCTTTGCTGTGGGAGGAAACCGGAGTACCCGGAGTAAACCCACGAGGTTGAGAAGGCGCCCCTATCTTCAAGCCACATACGCTCACACCTGGGATCGAAACCACAGCCGCAAGCCAGAGGTGACCGGCCCACTAGAGGTCGAAGCGTGACACTCTAGACCACTAGGCCATCCCAACCCCCCTCAATCTGATTAAAATTAAGTCCGCTGTTAATGTTTAAGTATCCGACACGCCAAAACCCTTTCCGATTTTTCAATTACGACCTTAATCCAGTTGATTGGCTGGTGACGTCACAGGCACTACACATAGGATATACATTATCTATACAATATCTCACTGTCTGTACAATATAGCACTATCAATACACACGGCAACTGGACAAGCGTCTATTGACGATCCAATTACCACGTGACTGGCCTAATCATAATTACCGAATTATCGTCTTTCATTGGTATAGATTAGACATTTGTGATTGGAATATTTTAGAGTGAATTTAAAATGCCGTATCATGCCGTAGATCAATTTAAGCTGCCTTTGTTTAAATAGGTCACGTGTCAAATGAAGATGACTCAAGAAATTAGCGCATTTACCGGTAATTTGGATAACCCAGTAATACTTGATATCCCATTCTACCATTAGTTCATACGGGTGTCGTAAATGAGGTTAAACTTCAACGCGAAAATTGCACGGGATCATTCGTGGAGTTCCTGGTGCCGTTTGGTGAGTGATTAAACTGTCAATGCAATTGTAAAATATATACTTTTATTATAAAGAAGATAACCGATGTTAGACATTATAACCTAATCGTATCAAAAACGTTAATCCATCCATCAATTAAATGTTGTTTAAACGCCAATCAACAAATAATACGAGGCCACTTGATTACAAAAACACCGGTGAGCAATAATTATTGGGTATATAGTAATTTCAAACAATCTTATTAGTAAAACTTAATTATTTTATACAATTAATATGTGTGTGTACGATTCTACCATTAGTTCATTTGTGGGTACTACGCACACATTCCACCTAGAGTGATGTCTTTAAACTGGCCGGCGTAAAAAAGATAATTACCTAATCAGCATTCTTAATCCCACTAACAATCACTGCTAACACCGAGATGTAAATTAATTAATGACCCCCAAGTCTGTATAAGTTTAGTCGCATTGATTAATTAATGACAGATATTAACGACACTACTTGTCATATTATTATCAATACACAAAGATAGTTAGATGACACTTCTCAATTTGTCTGTTATTCCATTTAGATGGTTACCCTCAAAATTTATTTGTACTGTATATTGAGATATTTTTTCGAATTTCATTTTTACGGTCTATTTCAGAGTAATGTAGTCAAATCCGTCGTACGATGATAACGGATCGTCATTTACAAAACGCTTTTCAATCATGTTTGACTTTTATGATACAATTTGCATGACCACATCTTTTTAACACTGTACTTTTTAACTCGCGGAAATTAGAACCACAATACTCTTTTGACGAAAATGTATCTCTAATCAATTGGACTGCACACGATGTTAGAGGGTATTAAAATTCCTGTCATGAGAAACAAATTCTAAATTGAATCATAAATTAAAATGAATTACAAAACAAATTATTCTGTAGTCAATTGTTTTATTTAATTAAGGAACTAAGGGGGATTAAGGAACCAGTCAGGCGTTAATGAGTACACACGCCGGTTGTATATAGGTAATTAAGGAATAAACATTCCGAATATGCATTCGGTCACTGTGAAGTCAATGGCGTCTGAGGGGATTAAGAGTGTTTTCAATAATTGGCAAAGTCGTTTTTAAGGGAGGTCTATTTTTACGACTTTGAGTGAAGATAACTGAATTAATTTCAATCAGATTGGTGTAAACTTGCCGTAAAGTTGATATAGTAACCATTGGCTGCACATATCCAAAACTTTCCAAGCCCATCTTATGTGCACTTTAAGATTTTAGTTCTAAAATTCTAATCTGTAGCATATGACTCTATTCTATTGACC